TGCAGAGTGTTGCCATGTGGGCAGCCGAAATTTCTGTTTTGTTTTATTTCGGGAAGCAGCCCGGTAATGTATGCACCAGCCCTGGAGGTAATGGGGTGACAGATGGGAGCTGGACTCTGCCTTTCATGGGAAAGGCTCTTCCCCACGGGGAGGCAGAGAGTTTCCCACCTAATCTCCTGTAACCTTCAGGCCGCTAACAACTGTAAGAACCAAAGCAAGGGGTAGTTATTAAATTAATGACTTCATCCCCCAGCCAGTAATAAATATTTTACAGTTTTATCTCTCCACCCTGTAGACTGCTCTGGACAGACTAGACTGTTCATTAATACAGCTCCTGGATTTATGCTATTTAATTGCTAAACAGCCCCAGCGTGGAGGGGCTGGTTTATTAAATGTTGACATCTGAGAAGGATTCCTCTGGCAAAAGGCAAAACCTGAGGAGATGATTCTTGGTCTTGGATTTGAATAAACGTTAGGCTGAGAACAGCTCCCCCATGGCCAGTGATGTGAGATAGGGGCTCAGTCCAGATTAGCCTAAATTTGAGCGCAAACTTATTTTGTGTCCCAGCTATTTAGCCATTGCCTTGAGCCCAGTTTGGGAGAATTCCAGGACTTGCGGAGAGGAGGGAAAAGGCAGGGGAAAGCTTTGGCACATCCTCACTTCAACATTCAACAGCATCACAATGTGATGCCAGAAAACCAGCCAGGATCCTCACGGTACCACCCGTCCTTGCTCCATCTCGTCCTGGCTCTTGTTTCTTCAGGTGGTCACAGGTAGCCACTGACTACCTGCATCGCAGTTGTAAAAACAAAAGCAGCCCTTAATGGCTGTTAGCTTCCTTCTTGACAGGGCTGGAAAAGTCTGTAAATCTGATATTGCCATTTTTACAACAATTGGAGATTTATGCCTCGTGCTGAAGGAAGGGGATGAAGGCATCTGGAACAGCAAGAGCGATTTGTCGGGGAATGCATTCTCCGTGCGCTTTCTTGCAGCCTCAGTCCCAGGAGCACTGCTGTATAAAGCAGAAGGGCATTTAAGGATATATTTTCTCATAAAAGTGTAGGAGCAGTGAGCGCGCTAGCAAGCGCAGTCCAGAGCCTCTAATCCAGCCAAGCTGTGCTAAATGCCGGGTGCGAGAGGAGCAATTTCCAGGCAGGGGCTGCTCCGCTTCCCTTGGTGCATCACATCACTCCGGATCGGCACAGCTCCAGCGGCTCAGGACCAAAGGAGGTGCCAGGGGGCAGCTCTGGGGAGCAAAGTTGCCTTCTCTCCCCAGGATGAGCAGAGGTGGCTCTTGCTGCCACCCACTCATGCACCTTCTGAGAACTCTTGGTGGGACCAAACCTACCCATTCTGCAGGTTGTCACATGCGTTTGCTCCCACCATACACAGGGACGCGTGGGTGGGCAGGGAGGGGGATGCGCAGGACTGGACTTGCTAAGCCCAGCAGCAAGAAGCAGATGAAGAGGAGAACATCCATCCCATAGGCACAGCATAAGATAGACCAAGCCTTAAATCTTCCTCCAGAGGAGCTCTAGGGGAAAAGAAAAAACCAGAATAAATGAATGCAACTAGGGAGGAAAATTGTTCTTTTGTTAAAGCTGAAAGCCATCACCTGGGTCAAGGTACTGGGTGCAGGATGCTCCTGCTGGGAGACGCTGGGTGGAAGGTACCGTTTTGGCAGCAGGATGGAGGGATGGGTCGTTAGCAGCTTTGAACAATTAACAGCAGCATCAGTGGGGCCAAATCATGCTCTTCTAGGTCAGCAGCTTATTGACGTGTTTTGAAACAGCCACACACTGGCGATTACCTTCTCCCACGCATGCTTGAAGCCAGAGACCTGCTCTTCCATGCCGCCCAGCTCAACCTCAGCAGGTTGGAGGAGGTTTACGAGCTCTCCTAAGCACACCTATAAACTCACAGTGTACCATCGCAAACCAATTCAATTCCCTTCCCTGCCATAGCGGATGCCAGTTCCGAGAAGATAACATCTCGCAGTGATGGCTCCCAGAGCTGCAATTCCGCACAAATCTAACCGCCCCATTATGCAGCACAGCCAATTCGTTAAGGAAGGACAAGCAAGCATGTCTATTAGCTCCATCATCATAATCAAATATTGGCACAATGAACTGCTTGGTGGTGCAAAGTCTATCTAAAAAAAAAAAAAACCTCTAAAATAATTATGTGCCCTTCAGAGTGAAGCGGCGTGCCGGCTGGTGTTGGACGCAGGATGTCACAAGGGTCTGCCCGTTCCCAATGGAAGATCTGCAGCACCTTCCCACCATCTCCTGCCTCTCACACGGGGACACTCGGCGAAATTCAGCTGACCCAGATTCCCATTTGACCCAACTTACTCGTCTCCGACCAGCCTTGCTATGATGATTTCCCCGATTTCCCTGTGGAAGCTGCAGCTCCTGCACAACCGAGTTAGGGAAGCTCAGAAGTGACACCTTCCATGCAGTGGCTTCCAATAACTCCGTGCCATTGCCATGGCTTAAATGGGAAGCCATGGCCAACTTAAATGGGAATATCACAGAGCGGAGCCTGGGATGGAGCGGGCAGAGCATCCCGAGCATCCCGCTCATCCCGCTGGTGCCGATGCCCCTTCCCAGCTCCCACACCGGCGCATCCCACGCAAGAAAGACCAGGGGACCTCCAGGCACAAACAGAACCGGGCGTTTATTACGAAAGGACCCTGCCGGTACATGAGGAAGTTCTGTCTGCAAAATACATTTCCTGAGGAAAGTAGATCACAGTATTTGTCTTCACAGAATAACATGTAGCCCGCCACAACTTTCAATGCGCCTCTTTATTATTTAAATATGAACAGTATTCCTGCACAGAAACAAGTACTCAGTCATCACGTAACCGACACACAAACAACAAAATAAATATACAACAAGAGCACAGTTCATTTCGGACTTAAATATTAAATAAATAATAAATACAGAATTCTCATTTCCTGTTATCAGTGCCTGAAACCATACGAATGAAAAAGAAAAGAAAAACTGAAAAAAAATCCCTCTTCCCCCCGGTACCCCTGCCCCTTCAAAAAAAGAACAAACCAAAAAATTATCAAAATGTCTCAGTTATAAAATATCTTTAAAAAAATTCCCATCGTTAAAAGAATAAATAACAAAATATATAAAAAATAACTTGGTTGCATCAAAATTACAAGTAGGAGTTGTAGATAGGGGTTTTTCTATTTTTTTTCTTTTTTTTTTTTGGAGTATCTTTTTTATGGTCAAAAGTTTTAATTTTTAATTTTTTTTTGCTTCTTTTATCTTCTTTTCTATGGTGCGGTGTCCAGTTTAAAATAAGTATAAAATTAATAAATAAAAAAGTTAAATAAATAGCAAAAAGTTAACATAAGGTGTTGTAAATATAAATTACATATATCTTGCCAAAATTAAATAATTTACAGGATAGTTAAACTAACTACTTTTTTTTTCTCCTCTCTTTCTTCTGGGAAGTGCAATTTCTCTACTTTTAAATACTAACTGAATTGCAGTCACAATCAATTTGGACTCTATTTACATGTTAAGAACATTGTGTTTTTAACACCTCAAATTATTCTTATTATTATTTTCCCTTTCTTTTGTAGTTTTGCACTTGGAATGGGTTCTAAAATAAGTGAACTCATGGAGTCTGATCCTGCAAACACTTAAGCACGGGAGGAAATTCGCTTGCGGGAGCTGCCCTGGGGGCACTGCCGCACATTGAGCCGCTCACGAGCTTAACGGCAGGATGTGGTGGCCACTGGAAGTAGCATCTGGCCACTGACTTCTCCAAATTGGGGATTGTGCCCTAAATTTCTGCAGGTCGGGGCTCGCGGTGACACTGACGGCCTTGCCGTGAGCACCGTCCTGCAGCCGCCGGGGACCCGCCGCGACCGCGTCGCACAGCCGGGCATCCTGTCTCACCTCAGCCCCCCGGGCACAAACTGCTTCTTTGGAAGAATACCCAATTCCTGAATATTCCTTTTTTTTTTTTCTTTCATGGAATGGCGCTTAATTTTGCACAAAATCTGAAAAACCAAACCAAGAAAACCCATTCCCATGTGGATATCTCTAGGAAACTGACTGATTTGTTGGGTAAGCACTTTGCTGGCCCTCAATTAACATCCCTCTTTTTGTTTTGTTTGCTTTTTGCTTTTTTTTGTTGCTGTTGTTCGTCACAATCTCATTCTCCGGCATTGATGGATGATCTTGGACTGGCAGTACTGCGCCACTGTTGGGATGATCACAATAATGAAAAGAACCAGAACTGTCATCAAATAGACTTCCAAAAAATCATATACACTGGACCATGACACATTTAGAATTCTTCTGTATGAAATATCTGGTATCTTGGCCTATTCATAATAGCTATTCTTATATTTAAGACAGACAAAGGAATACTGTAGTTGCAAACTCCAAAAGCTTCCCTGAGAACCTTTTTTCCATTGCGCTTTCCACTGGAGATCCAGGACTGCTCTTCAGATTTCTTTCAGAAAATAAAAATAAGCTACTTTATAATACTTAAGAGTTCCCATGCCCAGTGGATATCTGAACACCTCGGGGTTGGGAGGCCCAGCACAGGTTCAGATTTACAGGTAGCTTGCAGCTCCAGCACTTATAGTAACACAGAACAGAACTCATGTGTGAGTAGGTGATCTGGACATACGACCATAGACAACACGAGGGTTTAAGCCAGTCACACGCTAGTCTCGGATCAGACAAAACCTGTTCTTGTAGCGTTCTACCCCTTGGATCCGCTCTGCCGAAGCAGGATGCCTGCTCTCCACCAGCTACCAAGCCCCACAGCCTCCTGGAGAATCTACCCTTCCACCCCCATCTACCTCATGGTCCAGGTAGAAAAATCCCACTTCTCTCAAGAAGGTCCAAAGTTTAGTAAACGAGAACACTGAGTTCAATCAGTTCCACGTCTCATAAATGGCCTCTTGATTATGTTTTGGTCCTTTTTTTTTCTTTTCTTTTTTTTTTCTTTTTTTTTTTTCCATTCATTACACAAGTTTGCTAACTTGTAAACCTGAATACTTGGAGTGAAAGTTTCCTCTTACAGTTTTCTCACTCCGCCGCACAGCGCTAAACCTGGATGCCCTTGACGGCTTGTTTGATGCTCTCCAGCAGGTCCTTGTTCTCGGGGTTCTGGTAGCACTCCTGGTTGCTGTACATGTCCGTGAGCGTGTTCACGTACGCCTCGAAGTTCTGCTCGCTAATCGGCTCCTGGAAAAACGTGGCAAAGCACAAGTGGCGTTATCAGCCCATGCGGGAAGAGGCTGGGAGGCTGCTCTGCAATTAATCGCTCCTATGTACAGCAACACCTGTGGGTCAATGTCAGAGCCTTTTTGGGTTTATTCCCTCCTTGTTATTCCCTGAAATCTTGGTGTCCGGTCCCTAATCTGGCAAAAAAATTTATGCAAGTTGCTTAGTTTTATATATTGGTTGGATGGGGCTATTAGCAGAGCGTCAGGTTAGCGCTTGCAGACAGTTGGATGGGATGGAGGATGGATTAAGCCGGGGAAATTAAAGCCTGGAGGAGGCAAAGGCATCGTGGTGAGAGTCTAAGGCAAAGCAAGGAGAGGCACCCAGTGACCCCAGTGCTGGGCTCTGCCACCCCTGGGTGCTGCAGCAGCGCAGCGGGTGCTTCATGGGGCCTGATGAAATCCCTGCGAACACAGAGTAAATGAGGAGAAAAAGAAAGGGAGAGGAAAGATAAGAATGGGAATAAAATGAGCATACCCGTCTCGTGGGCATTGTTTAATTGGAATTGCCTGAAACCTTGGAAAAATATTTGCTGAACAGTTTATTTGACCTTTGCGTGTCAAATGAAAAGCACTCGGGGAGCGGTGTTCTGCCAGGGCGGCAGCTGGGTGAACACTGTCCAAAAACGCGCGGCTGGAGAACGGCTCGTCCCCAGCGAGCCGGAATTTAAATGCAAGCCCCAATGAAAAGGATTCCCCAAAAATGATGGCAGGAAAATAAATCAAAAGCTCATTCCTCTGATCATCCTGACGGCCTGTATTATTTGCGAGAGGACAGCTTCCACAACACCGCGCGGACCTCCAGACACACACCTGGTTTTGACAACAGTAATTACATTCCTGGGAATAGAGAGAAGGTAATTAATAGCCTTTTGTGGCTTTACTATTTTAATGCAGCCTTTTCATTTTGTGGTAACTCTATGGTAACATGCTGTGGGCTGTTAGACCTTGTTAAATTAAACAAAATACATTCTCTTTAAGAATGCTATTCTTTGGCTGCCAGCTATTCAAAACTGAATTGAAGCTACCTGCATTATAATAGGGGCTCTAAGATCTTTCTGACGTTGAAATCCAATCCCTCCTGATCTCCGCTTGTGCTGCCTTAGCCTAAAAGGCGCTGGGGTGCCCTTGATAAAGTTTCCTATTTTGTGATAGTGCTCCCCGATGCAATGAGATGGGACAATAGGTACAAAGGGAGATCAGCAGAAAATGACAACAAAAGGGAGATTCGACGCAAGCTTCAGAGATAAGGCCCAAGTACTGATCTTATAAAGGAGAACGGGTGCACAAAGAGAAATTCTCCCGCTCTTTAATTGCACAGGAGCCTTATGGCGACATTGGGATTTGCCTGGTCACCCCATTGCGCTGGCTGAGCCTTACCATGTGCGGAAGGCGGATATTGGCAAGACTTTGGATGAGAGCCTGGCTCAACCCTGAGAGCTCCAAGAACAGGGCTTCGTTCTGCTCCTCGATGATCTTGTTCTCCTCCTCGATGTTCTTCAGGTTCTTCTCCATGGTGGAGATCTGCAGAGCAAGGAGGGTTACACGGGGCAGCGGGGAGCACCTGGGGCGCAACGCGGGCGCTGAGCCGGGTTCCGCACACCCACCTGCGACTGCAGCTTCACCATGGCCGCTTCCATCTCCGAGTTGGACTCGTTGAGCTCACTGATCTCCTTGTTCAGCTGCTTGATCTCCTCGTCGTTCTCCAGCACTGCAGGGAAGGAGCAGAGCTCAGCACACGCTTTCCCTCGGGAAGGCAGGAAGGCCACCGGCCCCATGCAAGTAATGGCCAAGAGTAATAATTAATGTGCAAGGTGCATTCCCTTCATTTTTTAGGGGAAAAAAAATCATTAAATGACTGAATATTTATTCAAAGCAGTATTTATGATGTTGAATTCTGTAAGCAAAACTCTCTAAAACGCGAAAAACAAGGTATGTATTTTTCAAGTACATAAGAAGCGTGTCTGCAGAAAGGCACAAGAGTTGCCAGAATGGACCAAAAGACTCTGGTTTATTCTTCATTTAAAATCAAAAACAGGAATATCTGACCCATTTGGTTTCCGTGATAACACACTCTGGATGAAATACATAATAAATATTCCACTTCCTGCCACATCAGCAAGATAAAAGGAGTGAAAACCCTTACCATCGCTGGTCTTGAATTTTGTGTTGAGAATTTCATCCCCTGAGAGTTTTCCTTTCTTCCCAGCAAAAGTAGCTCTTGGGCACCCTGACAAACTGCAAGGCAAGTAAAAATGGGCTTCATAAACCCTCGGTATTTATAGGTGCTTACGTTCCCAACAAGAGTTCATACCATTTGGTGGAGTTCATGCTGTGAGACAGCTCTTCTAAAAGCTTTTTATGGTACAGAGGAAATTGCTTTATGAATAATGCCACAAAAGTCCTCATTTATAAAGCAAGAGCAATTTTCTCCGAGTGAAGATTAAGAAACGCAATGTTTCCTAAAAGAAAGGACATGACAGCCTAGGTAAGTGAAGCTAATCTGGCTGCTTTGGGTGCCAAACCCTTGCTTTGGGTGCCAAAGTCCTGTTCTGATGTGTTAATAGAAGAGCATTAAATTACCACGTTTTGTGATTTAGCTCGCTTCCCATATCACCATTTCAAGAAAACCTGTGCACTTTTTTTTCCTTGCAGAAAACTCCAAGTTTACAGGAGCCCAAATGAGCACGGCATCCAAAGCAGCAAGGATGAAGCCTTCCTTGCCAATGCTGTGGTGTTAGAGCAGGTAGGTTAGCCCAAGAAGGCAACACCAAGTTCCTTGGTGTCTCCAGAGGGTTCAAACCTTGGCATTTACCTTCTGTGAGTGAGGAAGCTCCCATTGGCGTGTCCTGAGCCGTCACAGCCTGGTGTGGGGCAGGTCGGCCCTTCGTTCTTCAGCGATTTCCAGGAAAATGAGGAGCCGTTGAGCGATCCCTCCTTTTGCCTGCGGGCTGCGAGGGGGCAGCCCGAGGCGCTCCGGTGAGACGCGTATTTGCCGCTGATGTGGCCAAGCCCAACGCAGCCAGGAACCGGGCACCTGAGCGTGGAAAATTACCCAAAATGACAAAATGGGAATGAAGGAGGACGCAAGAAAGCTTAAAAAACTACATTCAGGATGAGCAGAAGCAAGGAAATGTGGAGATTTGGGGCTTTCAGCA